TGTTTACAGGTTCGGTGAAAATATATTTTTAATATTGATATAATGAACCCTTTTCCAACTACAAACACTAGAGACAATGGATGACAAAATAGCATCCTGATTGTGACATAAAGTGTATGTCATCCTCTTAGGTGAAGTGATATGCGCGAAATCGAGGTAAGAAAAGACAACATATTAAAAATGAAAATCACATATACAGATTTTTTATTGTATTTGTATTGTATTTGTGAAGATGAATTTTTTAATAAATACTCATTTATTTCCTTAAATCATTAAATAGATTTACATTGTTAATCACGGCGTAATCGCCCATAAAGGGCATTTTAAGTGCCGTTTTAAGTGAATTTAAATTACAATAAAATTATATATTCATAGTTAGTATAAAAAATATAAAATTTGAATACAATCTGTTTTACTACCTGTCTGTACCCCCGTTGATGCTCTGAAATTGAATTACTGTTATCGATGGTTTAATTGTGTTTAATGAAGTTTATAACTGCCTTAAAGATTTTGGAATTGTTTTCATTTGACAGATCCTTGTCGCCAAAAAGTAGGAAATTTGTCTTATTTTTAAATGTTTTGTATTTAGTTATATCTAAGTTTAGTTCATGTTTAACCACCGCTAGCGCATTTGTTTCTCTCAGAGGGCAGGACAGGAGTTTATGTTGTGCTGTCTCTCGAGCTCCACAGTCACAATATGGATCGTTAATGAAAGAGAAATTATGGTCAAAAAGATCGGATTTAAAATATTAAAATTTATTCTTATCTTATCATCTGTTTAGTACAAATTTAGTACAATTTCGTCTTTTCTATCAAGATTCTGTATGTAGGAGGTTGAAATTGTAGGTTCCATGTTATTAGTGAGATGATCGTTTAGTTGTTTTTTGAAAAAGTGATCCGTTTTGCGTAAGATGGTACCAAATTGTTTTGAATCTTGAACATAACACGCAGTTTATGTTCATCCCGTCTATTTTGAATATTATCCCAATTTAATATTTCAAGGGTTTTTTCGGTGCTTTCACCTTGCATAACACCAGGACAAATAACAACTGCCCTATAATGTACACGTAGCTTGTCTAACTGGTCTAGGATGGTAGCTGGAGCAGCGTCATATACAGATTGCTCCAACTATCTATAGTTTTGCCTAACTTTGAATGCCAATGTAACCAAAATGATTCGTCTATCTAAATATTTAATATCTGGTAGAAATAAAATCAAATTAATCACTTACCTCCTTCCTTACCTTGTTCCTTAGCGATTGCGTAAATTGCGAGTTGACAGTCGACACCGTTGTTCAAACTAAGGAATTGCTGTGGTTTATATACTTTTAGAATGGCGGACGACTCATAAATCCTTCCGCGGCGTATTAATTTCTTAGACTTTACACGTAACTGTGTGTAACGGTGTCATACAAGGTGTTTCAAATGGACAGACGTCTATCTCTTTAATTAAAGTTACAAAGGAAAATTGTATTGAAAAACACTTGTTTATTCTTTCAACTGCGTAAACTGTGAGAATCAGAAATCGGCATTCTGAGACTAGTGTATATTGAGATGTTTTAGAAAATGTTACATTCTCAGACTACATTAAGATTGCTAATTTCTGGTAAGCGTGAGCCATCAAGTTTATACGTCAATAAAACATAATATTAACGTACACTCCACACCATGAGTTTGGCAACCTTAGCTCCCCATTGAACTACGTGTAAAAGCCTCTAGATCTTTACCTTTGAATTTTCATTCACTTAACCTGCAAAGAAATAACTTATGATATTGATAAAAACGCAACTTGAGTTCATTTCCAATACCTTCAAATTTTCCCAATTTTTTTCCTCGATTACAATACGTCGAAAATTGATGATTTTGATGATTTTTGAAAATCGTAATTCCCATGTAAACCAATGGGAAATGTTGGGTTCGGGCCAAATCAGAAATCAGGATATCTATTCAGTAAAAGAGTCAGCAAAAAATAGTTTTATAGAGAAAATTGAAATTTCCTTTTTTTATACACTAAGTGTTTAGCTTACTCGAGGAATACTAAAGTTACAGAGCTTCAAAGTCATTTTTGAAAATCATTTTTCGCCTCCTGTGTTATTTCAATTGGAGAGGTTTTTTGAAAAATAATTTTGACTTTAAAGACCTATAACTTTGCTGATCCTGAGAAAAGGTATCAATTTTTAGTTAAATAAAGTTAGCTAATTCAATTGCCTACCTAACTTAGCTTGTATTTTTTGCGAGGACTCAGAGTGATAGATATTCTATCATATGACTTGCGGCAAACCTACCATTTTCCATTGGTTAACATGGGAATGTCGATTTTCAAAATTTCATCAAATTCATCATCAATTTTCGATCTATTGTAATTGAGGAAAAAATTGAGAAAATTTGGAGGTATTGGAAATAAGGTCAAATTACGTATCAATCAATAGTATAAGTATTAGGTTAAGTAAATAAAAATTCAAAAGTAAAGAGGTTTTAACACGTAGTTCAATGGGGGAGCTAAGGTTGCCAAACTTATGGAGGGGAGTGTATTAATAGATTCGTGGACCTTGTTGTTACATTTCTTGGTGGGACGTTGATTTTTTGTCAACTTATGCTTGCATGCTTAAAATGTAAAAGCCATACGTTTGATATTTTACGCGTTGGGCATGTTATACTTTGGATCCCTCCAAATTAAGCACCCTGTAGATGTCACATTTCGTTAGAATATAGTCCACTTGTCACTCTCAGATGCCACAAATGCTTGGATACTGGTACTGACATTGCACAGTATCTAGGGTCGATTCAAGACACTCTATATGGGGCCGTTTAGGTATTATCATAACCATTTCTATATTCCCTTTTATTTAGTAAATAGCATCTGTTTAGTAATGCATGGATCTGTACTTTAACACGGATAAAGAATTAACGATCTTTATAGAGTGTAAAGCCAATGCTTCTCTTATTTTCAAGATTCTGTATTAACATATTTTCGAATTTCTTTTTGCTAAACCTTTCGTTTTCCAGATGTTGACCATTTTTTCAATCTTCACTATTCTTCGAAAAACACTCCAACCGTTCATTTTTAGGAAACCAATGATTTGGACTTTTCAATTATCTAAAATGAAAAAGATGTTGGTTTTAGCTAGTCTTGGACACACAGTGTAGACAAATAAGTTAGGTTATGCCTTGGAAGTGCAATATGTTTCCATGTATTCTGGCGGCCCTACCAACACCAATGCTGCCGTCTATTTAATTATATTAGAGAAATAGTAGATTTTGCTACCGCTATCGTACGGTCTCGTGTTTTCACGGCAAATAGCAATCCTACGCAGTTACCTTTGGTACGGCAATGGTAATCGAAGGTATTTTAAAGATATTTATCATGGACCGCGGTATTTCGGAATTTATCAACAATATAATTATATCATGCCGTGAAGTCGATTTATGATACGGTAAAAGACAAAATGCTTTGTATTTATTCGATTTCAATAAAATACTTTTCATATTAGAAAAAAACAATCTTTGCAACGTGTGCTAAGTGACATCCCTTATCCCGCATTATTTCATTTGTTTGGATGCGAGTGTAACATATTGTTTTAAATAATTTGAAATAGCGGCATGGAGGTGTAAACTTTGACATGTCAAGATAAAAATATCTGAATCTTCAGGTGTATGAAGTTAAGACCTATAATGTGGATGTCTTATTTTCACTGTTCATCATTTTCCCCATTTCTTTGTTTGCATTCTTGACTATACTATGTATTACAGCATCGATGTCTGATTGGAATGACATATATACAATTGACCATTTCTATATACTTAGATATATGGAGATGAATCAAAGGATGGCAGTGTGAGTGTTAGTAGGGCCAGAATACCATTCATTTACAAAGAGAACTTGCAGAAAGTCATTTGATTTCTCGATTGATCAATATTTCCATTTGGATTCACGTGAACCTCCATAGACATGTAATTATGTGATCTTGTTCACATGTAGATTAGATTGTGATTTAATATTAAAGGTGTGATCCTCGAAAGAGTAAATGCATATTCTAAGCTTTTTCAACATTGTGTCAATGTGAATTTAGCCCGACCTTTTTTCAGAAAACATCAAAATCCTGGGAATAAAGGGAAATAATTGCAAATCAAAGTTGTTTTAATAGAAAATTACAAATAGAATTCAAATATCATCAAATACCATCAAAAAGAAGAAAATGTTGGATGGTAAAAATGTAGATCTCCTAATATCTCATTAAAAACGAGAGTTCAACGAGAGAGATCTCAATTATTTAAACAGTTGAAGCAACGGTTATGTTCTCCATTTGTGACAACGGTATCTGACTTTACTGTTGTCAGGATTTTCCGGGGTGATAGGTTGTAGGTTCTAATGTTCATAAACCTTTTAATTAATGTTTATCCAATTTCTTATTTTGCTTGCAATTATTAGTTCCTACAAGGGTCGATCAAAAAGTTTCTTCCCATTGGCTCTACATTTTATAATAAAAGGATGGCCAAATTTTAACACGAGACAGAGTAGTTAGTTTTCTTGAAACTGTATGAGTGTCATATAAATTGGTTCATTTGTAGTGCCACGGAGTCAATTACATGTTTTCCATAATTGAGTTAGGTGGAGCTGCGTTATTCTGGAGAAATCTGCTAAGCTGCGGTTCTGTAGTTTAACCTATGACGTCACCCTTAGCATAGGACTACGTTCTGTTCAAGGAGGATTATTCTAACTCGATACTCCGTTGCCTGCAGTGGAACAATTTAGTAAAAATATTTCTATAAGGTTCTCTTCAGACCAAGTTTTTCGTTGAAAGATTGTCATTTGAATATTTTTGAAGTATTCCTCAGCAGTCTAGTCGTCAAAATATGAGTAATATTGTTACCAAATTGGTCTACGCCGGGCAATGGAGTATTGGGTTTGAATAACAGCTGCCAATCCTCCTTTGTTCTGTTGTCATTAACTGGGCAATAGATGGCGGAATTTATTGCGATAGTGCGATTTTACCAGCGACTTACAATGCATGTATACAGGCTACTTGTTTTTTATTAATCAATATAAACAAAGTATTAAACAAAACAATTTTCAGGTACAGGTATGCATCAATGCAAATACATTATCAATAATTCTGTTAACAATGTTTTCTATGAATAAAAAAGGAATAAAAAAAAGATTCAAATTCTCCCCAGGGAATTCTCCATCGTTCGCCGTCACACATCACAAGGGTCAGACTTCCCGTTACGTGTTCGTTTTTTCCATATTTTCTTGCACTTGCATCCATTTTTGCAATCTCTCAAAAACGTAAAATCTTCCCTGAATAGTTTTGCATATGGGTCAGCCATGCTTGAACGTGAAGCTTTTCTGCATTCTGTTCTAAATCCTCTGCATTCGACACATTTGTCAGTGACTGGATTTTTCCTAGTTCTTTCACCAAGTAGCTTCGCATAACAATCATCCCGGCATCGATCCCTACAGTTTTGAAGAGTTGTCTCCACAAGCTTGTCAGAGACCACTTCGACAACTACAAAACATGAATTATTGACAAAATACTGAATGGATATCGAGGCACATCTATTAAACCATGTAAACGGCCGGCAGAATTTTAATCATGGACGTAGCCTGGCATGTGGCATGCGAAACCTCGCCAAGTTCGGCCCGCCTAATGTTAGATCCATGGCTACGCCCTTGTATGATCAAATCATGAAAAAGGGAATTCTAGATGAGGGCTAACTATACGAATAGCATTCAAATAAATATACTAAATTATCATTCAGACTTATTATCATCTATCTCAAATCAATGTTTCTTACCCGTAGTTTATCAAACATATAATGCAATGTATTGTTCCAAAATGCAATTGCCATCCGTTGCCTGTTTAAAAAGGCTGTCAAATTAAAACAAGTCTGACACCTATTGATGTGAAAACTTGGAATTTAAGCACGAACAGACTTTTAAGGCGCATTCCATCTAGGATTTTTGGGGTGTATAACAATGCTCCCAATTGCAAGTTCGGGAGTCAAACCTTTTTGTTTGGGCGCAGTGGCATTCGATGATTGAGGATTCATAACTTTCCCGATGAACAAAATCACGCCACATGTCTTGTCGTAGATGAGGAACATGAACGGGTGGTTACAGTTGACTTTGACAGGCGGTGGCGAGTAGCCGGATCGTCCTCCAGCAATCACGGTAACTGCAGCGGCTTCTGTCCCTGCAAATCAAATGATTCAAATAAACTATACCTCAGTCACATTTGTTGCACGGCAGCCGTACGTCAACCACAGATCAATTAAATCAGTGAATTTCTGAGGTGAGCGTAGGAAAACTACGGTCGCCTTTCAGTCTCGTATTCAGTTTTTTACAGGCCGCAGGGTAGTCGTAGAAATTATGACTCAGAGTTTCTTATTTGGTCATTTCTGCGGTCGATGCCAGACAGCTCAGAAAGGTCCAGCGATGGCCGTATATTGGGCTTGCAGTTGACTTGCGTCTGCTGTAGGATTTGATGGGTAATGTACCTTTGGAAACAGTTTTTAAGTCAGTTTCGGTCATATATTTTGCTGTAAACACAACACAATTTGTAATACTGTTTAATGTAAGGTCATTGATACCACAGCAATTTATATTTCATTAACACTTTTTATTTGATATTACATCCTACCACTATTAATAACATTTATTTGTACTGATGTAAACAAAATAAAAATAAGCATTAACGTCTATCATCAGGAATGCAAAACTCGCAGTGCGACTGCCGTAGGAAATGTGACTGCAGATGTATCCGATCGCAGAAATTCTACAGCGAGTTTAGAAATGTTACTGGCCGGAGAAATGATAGACCGTGCGGTCGCCGTTGGAAATGTGACTGGCGTGTAAGTTGGTTATTCCAATAACAACGCAGGAATTTACTATGCATCTTACTATAAAGGACGGTGGTCTGTCTGTCATTTTGTCTGTCCAGACATCTCCTACTAGACTGTTTGACTTTAGGTCCGCATACTTGGTCAACATACTTAGTAGATCGGTGGGCATTCTACCAGATTAGAGGTCAAGGTCCATTCCAAGGTTAAAGTTCAGTATCTAGGTATTTGACCCTTAACGACCAATTATTAGGTGACTTGAGATCAAGGTCAACTTTATGGGCCAAAGTCATTACAAGGTCAAATGTCTCTTGGTATTTGGCTTCTAGATGAATTTGGGGGCTGCTGTGACCTTTGGCGACCATGATAAAGTAACCTGGGGTCAAGGTCATTCTTAGGTCAAATGTCAATCTAGGTATTTGGTGATTTAAGGTCCTTGGGGCTGCTGTGACCTCTGGTAACCCATGATAAGTTGATCTGAGGTCAAAGCCAATGTTTATGGTCAAGGTCATCTCGAGGTTACAGGTGAATATCTAAGTTTTTGGCATTTTAAGGACCTTTGTGGCTACTGTGACCCTTAGCGACCCATGCTTAGGTGGCCTTAGGTCAAGCTCATTCCAAGGTCAAATGTCAATATCTTGGTATTTTGGTCAACTTTATGGGGCAACGTCATTCCAAGGTCAATATTTAAATATTTGGCGTGTTTAGGCTCTTGAAGGATACTGTGACCCTTGGCGACTCATGATTAGGTGACCTGAGGTCAAAGTCAATGTTTATGGATTGGCCAAGGTCATCTCAAGGTCAAAAGTCAATATATAGGTATTTGGCGTTTCAAGGCCAAGTTCTCAATTCAAGCTTCAGTCAAGCTTAAATGAGCAATATAAAGATTTAGCATTTTATGGGGGCTGCTGTCATGTGGAGACTGCTGTGACCCTTGGTAACCCACTCAAACGGGTAGATCGCTAGTTCAAATAATGGAGAGGTTAAGCTAACGATGTTTTTCACAACGTAACCGTGAACGCAAAGTACAAAAATTAACAAAGGAATGTATCGAGCGCTCATAGTTTTATGCGCGCTTAGTCTACTTCAGATACTCTTCAGCTTCATAGTTTCGGGTTTAGAACGGGAGATTTTGAAATTTCACGTTGGGTCAACGGGAACCATTTTACTCGTGTCTATTGAACACTATGCTGTCAATTTTGATTTCGATGCACAGTTGAATTCTTGCTGAACACGATGATGTATGTCATGCATGATTTAGCGCCAAAAATCTTACGAAACGAGCTCGTTTAAAATGTGTATTAGAAAACCAGCTATAAAACCGCATCAATGACATACTATAGAATCATTACACGCTATGGTGTAGTCTAAACAAACACTGGATTTGAACGGCTATTTATATGAGAAGGCTACATGAATTTGTATATGGTCGAGTGATACGTACAGGTTCAGTTTCGATTATATATGCAAAGCTTAACCTCTCAAATATAAGCTTGCAGTACCGGTGAGAACTCTCTATATTGCTTATTTATTGCAATTTTTAAAATCTTTAATTATAATTAGTGGAATCGATCGGTCTTGTGACGTAATGTCAACAGGTACATATCGAGAAGACACAGATTCAAAAGCCAACACTGGTGTATCTGTGGTTTACGTCAAACACTGTTTTATCAAGGACTCGTTGGGTTTGTTGAAAGTGGTTTGACAACGTTCTCAAGATTCCAACTTTACACGGTCCAATTTACACCGTTCCGTATTGATGGAGAGGTTAAGCTAACGATGTTTTTCACAACGTAACCGTGAACGCAAAGTACAAAAATTAACAAAGGAATGTATCGAGCGCTCATAGTTTTATGCGCGCTTAGTCTACTTCAGATACTCTTTCAGCTTCAGAGTTTCGGGTTTAGAACGGGAGATTTGAAATTTGACGTTGGGTCAACGGGAACCATTTTACTCGTGTCTATTGAACACTATGCTGTCAATTTTGATTTCGATGCACAGTTGAATTCTTGCTGAACACGATGATGTATGTCATGCATGATTTAGCGCCAAAAATTTACGAAACGAGCTCGTTTAAAATATGTATTAGAAAACCAGCTATAAAACCGCATCAATGACATACTATAGAATCATTACACGCTATGGTGTAGTCTAAACAAACACTGGATTTGAACGGCTATTTATATGAGAAGGCTACATGAATTTGTATATGGTCGAGTGATACGTACAGGTTCAGTTTCGATTATATATGCAAAGCTTAACCTCTCCAATGTCAACAAAATCACTAATACGGAACGGTGTAAACGAAACCGTGTTTACTTGCAGGCAAATTTTTTTCATAAAAAATGGTCAAGGGAACGATCAGATACTCCCTTCCTTGCTCTATTTGAAACCATCAATAGAATATCAAAACCAATTGTATAGGGTGTCCCAAAATATTGTACAGACACAAACGTAGAATAACTCATCTAAAAGACAACTTTATCATAAGCATCGAAAGGTTTTACTTAATAGAGGAAAGCTTGTTTGAACATGATCACCCATTTTTCCATGTTTAGAATTGCATTCATTTCTTTATTAATCGTGATGAAAGTCACTTAGAGTATCTCATCTAAAATGTCAAAATGTTCTGGAAAACGTTTCTATGAATCTTTAAATGCAAACTGGAAAATGAGTTCTCTTTATCATATGAAAGTTTTTTGGGATGATGAAAAAAGTTATTCCAGTTTCATTTGGGTACACTTTTGCGACTTTTGGTTCAATAGAACATTTTGTTCAAAGACCTTTTAGGAAAATTTGACTCAGTCAAGAGTAAATAAGGAGACTGGGGTCACGTATTTTGGCAATATTGAATTATAACTCAACATTGCCAGCAAAACTTTAAAGTCTCCATATTAAAAGTGTCTTTGCCGAATTCACCTGAAATAAGAACAATTTACCTGATTATTATAAATTCTCGTTACTTTTAAAGAAATAAATGGCATGTGTACATAATTTGGACCTTCACATCTTAACAGCAACCCTTCCTATCTTTGGAATAGGTTAGATGAAATACAGAGAGGCATTAAATACCAGAACATTACCTTCCTCGTTTACATCAACAAATGCCTCATGAATGACTTTAGATACATCTAATCTTGAATCATTGCTGAATCCATTGAGGTCGACAGCAGATGAGAATAGTTTTTTCATCCCCATGTCTTCCAGTATCGACGACAGCTCATTTTTCCATTTAAACTTCATCTTTGGTAGTGTCACGTAAACGTTTCTCCCAGTGTGAGGCGCCTTTAGAGTAAGTAAGGAGTCATAGAGATTATCTGCTGTGATGTCTTTTACCAAATCTTTCAAACCATTTTTCTCATCTGGAAGGATGATGACCATGCTCAGCCTATCACCGACGTAGGGGAGATCAAGAAATTGAGCCTTCAGCCGTATATTGTGGTAATATCTGAATGGGGACTCTTGGTACATCATATCAACTTTGACTGTTTCATCGTCTTGGACATAGAAAGATTGAACATTGGTATCACATGGATTAAATTGCGTAACCCAATCTCCCTTGAAGTAGATAGCATTGATGAGTGCAAATACAGTCATGGCACTGATATCTCCCGGTTGAAGAACTTCTTTGATCAACTGGTTCGTTTGGTCAGCTACCCATTTATTTATAATATCGGTGGCCTGGGCTGATTGTTTAAAATCAAGTTTTTCTATCGAACCTTTATAGTACGTTTCTATTGCTTTGATAAACTTTTCCCTTACGGCCAAGGTTTTATCCGGATACAGCTTATTCGCCGATCTAAGCTCTGTTCCTTTTGTTTTACCGTAAAGATTTTCGTTCAGACACGTGTACATAGTATGAAGCTTGGCATTTCTCTGAATATCCTCAACATGTAGGACATTTTCCATTTGTCTCTTCGTATCACCTCCTGCTCCTAAAAGTAACATTGCCAAGGCGGTTGCTACACTCACAGGGCTAAAGAAAACATTACTGTCAACTTCCTCTTGTTTATTTATCTTCTTGTATATATCTATCGCAAAATTGTTGATTGCGCTGGTTAGATCATCGATAGCTTCACACTGTTTTGCACATTTTATTGTATCTCTAGTTCCAGCCTCACCCAGAGAAATTACCGTTACAAAGACTAATACAACAGCCAACCCGATTTTCCTCTCCTCAAACATTTTTAAACCTGAATCAGTAAGCTATTAAGCTTCTCATTCCTATTTCAATTAACTATTATAATGTGTGTTATAAATGATGCTGTTTAATCCCTGTTTAATACATTGTTGTCTAACTATCATAAATTGTTTACACAGTTTGATTTAAGTTATATTAATCGTTTAAATATAGACAAAGGCTATTCATTGTAGAATATATTATCAAAACACTATAAGTTATTGAATGATTTAAAGTGCAATACAGGATATATTCTGCTCGTGAAATTCCGTATTGAAACGAGACGTCAATGCACCCTTGCTGAACACCTTAATATATTCTAAGAACTCAAGTTGATGGAGTCTCAACAAGTAGATTCATATTGGATAGTATTGCTAGAATGAATTTTCAATAATAAGAATTAGGTTCTAAAACGGGACATCGGACTTGCTTTTTAGAACTTTTTGTTGGTCCTAATTATTTCAATAATGGCCTTCCTAATAAGCCTATATAATTTTTTGCCCAAACAAACTTTTTGGCAACCCAGTTAAATCACTTCAGAAAACCCTTATTGTTATAAATTGACCATAAAACATCGTACTTTTAAGAAATCAAAGGTTCACTATAGGATGTATGGGGGTGACAAATGGACTAGAAGTTAGATAGAATCGCCCGACGAACTTACTATGAAACACAGACTCTCAAGTGTTATACATTATGAGGTGAAATATGGTTGCACTAATTGTATGCTACTAGCTCATCCACTGGAGTTCATAGCTTATACAATTGATTAATATTATAACCATAGATTTTTGGCCGGTATAAAGATGGCAGCAAATGATTTCCTCGGTTTCTATTTCGACCTGTCAAAGGCATTTGATACAATTGGCCAGCAGACATGCATCGAATATTTGCACAGTTTACTATTTAAACTATCATGCAATCTATGAACTATCATTGTGGGATCCACAGCCTTTACTATCCCTTTGGAATAGTTCAAAAGCGTTAGGTAAAGAGGGGCTCTGATAAATCAGAATGATGAACTATAGTTCATATGCCTTAATAAAAAATGTAATATATTCTTACTAATTCTTTTTATATATGCGCTGCGATGTGCTTCTTATTGAGTATCTCGTGCCGATCATGCAACAGCAATTGTAGGGAAAGATCAATGGATAGAAAAGAATGTTTCACTTAAAAATGTTTCATTTCATAATGTAACTTTACATTGTTACAATGAAGAAATGTTTAATTTTATAATGTAACTTTACATTGTGACAATGAAGAAATGATTCATTTTATATTTGTAACTTTACATTGTGACGATGAAGAAATGGTTTATTTTATATATACTTTACATTGTGACAATGAAGAAATGATTCATTTTATATGTAACTTTACATTGTGACGATGAAAGATTGTTCCATTTTATATATGTAACTTTACATTGTAACAATGAAGAAATGATTCCTTTTATATATATACTTTACATTGTGACAATGAAGAAATGTTTCATTTTATATGTAACTTTACATTGTGACGATGAAAGATTGTTCCATTTTATATATGTAACTTTATATTGTGACAATGAAGAAACGATTCATTTTATATATATACTTTACATTGTGACAATGAAGAAATGATTCATTTTATATATGTAACTTTACATTGTGACGATGAAAGATTGTTCCATTTTATATATGTAACTTTACATTGTGACAATGAAGAAATGGTTCATTTTATATATACTTTACATTGTGACAATGAAGAAATGATTCATTTTATATATGTAACTTTACATTGTGACGATGAAGAAATGGTTTATTTTATATATACTTTACATTGTGACAATGAAGAAATGATTCATTTTATATATGTAACTTTACATTGTGACGATGAAAGATTGTTCACTTTTTATATATGTAATTTTACATTGTGAAAATGAAGAAATGATTCATTTTATATCTGTAACTTTACATTGTGACTAAGAAGAAATGATTCATTTTATATATGTAACTTTACATTGTGACGATGAAAGATTGTTCCATTTTATATATGTGTAATTTTACATTGTGACTAAGAAGAAACGATTCATTTTATATATTAAACTTTACATTGGGACGGAGCAAGACCACGGTTTTAAATATAATGAAATATTAAATCAAAGAAAATACAAAGAATAGAAAAGAGTATTTACAAATATCCGTTCTCACTTATCGACGAAATACAGTAAACAACATTGCAGTTTACCAGTGCTCATAAATGATACGCCCCTTTTGATTCAATGGTTCAGCCCCGGCTTCTGCACCTACATTTGCTTGGGTGGTCGAGGTATGTTGTTTCAAACGTGTGTGGTCTTACATGACTAGTTTACAACTGGGGATGTATCATTTGCTGTTTGTATGGATATATGATTTGATATTTTTACACCGCTATAATAACTAATAAATCCACCTAATATACTCGAGCATATATATGAAAAAGAAATTCAAATGCACTACGAGTGCTTATTATATACTTTAGGTTATAAATATAATGCATTTCATTGCTTAAATCCCCACAAATATTACCTCCCATGTCTATAGAACAGTCATGCCTTTAAGCAACTATGGTACTGAATACAAAAGATCTAACCGTTTTTTCAATGATATTTGACATTTTGATTTGTATAAAGTATGCTATAACAAATTATCTATTGTATCAGTTGTTCCCGATGTGTTTTTGAATTTAAAAAAATAGTTACAACCACTTGGAAGGCATATTCGTTCACCTGTCATAATAGGAATTTCTAATATCAGTTTCTCTAAAGAGGGAATAAAAGTTACGCCCCTCAAGGTAGATAACTCGTGCTAAAATGCGATTACTAATATTCAATCTACGGAATTCCTACCTCTAAATATGAGTTTTCATTTTCAGATTTTCGGAATAGTTAAGGTAACCTAAGTAGAATAAGTTTATCTTTATGATTCGTTTATACCTGTAAGACATGCCCAAATATCGTCGCGCATTTCTCACCTAAAGTAGACTTAATGAGTATTGAATTATAAAAAATTGCGTGCTGTGCATGGTAACAGTGAAATATTGTAGTATTTCATATTTAATTAAGATGATTTACATAGTCCTGGTGCGATACACTCTGAAACCATTTTCTGAACCATTAAAAAACTACATAAATAAAATCTTATTTAGTTTTTTATTTGAGCATCTTGGTAATAATGACTTATCCAGTGGAGCAATTATCGTTTGGGTAAATAGACCACTGCTCATCCTTAACCTTTAAACACACATAAGCACTCGTCTGGATTAATCTTCAATGAGGATAAATACTGGAAAAGTTGGATTATCATAGGATAGTTGGATTAGCGAGAAGGATTAAAATGTTCAACTTGGGCGGTCCATACTCGTGAACCAAGGGCCCTAAGAACAACGTTGGTGTTCGACACTGATTAATTTTTCCATTTTCCCTTCTTGAATATTTTGCTTATGATTATATTTAATTAAGATTCCCCAAACGATTTGGTTATGATTTCGTATCATTTCGTGATAGTGGTGTCGTCTGCATCAAAGAGAGTGTCTTCGAAACATTTTTTGGCGACGTATTGGCAAAATTTGAGAAGTGTCATTTTAAAGGCATCATACATATAGCGAGGCAGGAGCCAGAGCTGTCGTGTTTTAAAAGTCAGAATAGCGTGAAAAAGATAAGTATTATCGATAAATAAAGTCAACAGATGCGAAGTCAACATTTCAAAGGGTTTAGGTGCGGATGATAATTGTATGCCGCCTGTAACTACCTTTACGCAAGGGTGGATATATCCGACCGATATCTTATCTATTGGCGATATGTTTTGTTACTGCTCATCGCTCCTTGCCAACTGTTCGGGAAATTGGATTCTCATTTACGTCAAATCTGTGCTGCTATCAAAACATATTTGCGAATTCATGACGAGATTGTTTTCAAACATTTGAAGAGAGCCCTAAGGGTACTAGAAACGTTTAAAGAAAAATTGTCATGCACAATAAAATATTTAGCTTTCAATTTTGTAGACCAAAAATATGCTGTTGGTGAATAGGCGTTGAGACAAGGGGCCAAGAGCCGGCTATTAGGCACTTTTTCAAAAATTCCCGAGGTTGAATATAAAAGAAAAAATGTTTGGCTTGGTTTAAACAAAAAATCCCATTGTCTTTTACTTCGTGTGTGAGGATTCGTCTACCCTTTCGCAAAATATATTTCGATTGTTTAAAAGAGACTTAGAGAGCTTCATCAAAATAAGTATTCAAAAGAAATTTGACACAATCTGGTCGAGGATAAAAGGTGAACCCCTAAAGATTAAACTTATGTCCCGCCCTTATCACATCGAAGACAAACGTCATAAAATAATGCCATGAAAAGTCCCAGGTGATACGTTGTATCCATGGCGAGCCACCCAATCAACCAGTGCCCCTTCTCAATTAATATGCCATTTTTCAATGTTCATATTAACTCAAGTATCAATCGTCCTTAAAAATAATTATATACATTATGTGTGTCATACGAAACTCCATCATCGATTGGGCAGATTTTGCGAGATACAACTGCACCAACCAGGCCGTGAACTGAAGCGGCATTTGACATGTTCTCGAGATACCTTGAATTCCAATTCGCCACTTCGCACGAATCAATTTTCTAAAAGGCTTTCGAAGGGGTACTCTTAGAATCACGTTCCTGATGGTCGGATATGAAACGAGAAGGCATTTAGTCAATTAAAGCAGAGGGGATAGTTTCATATAAAAACTTTGGAAGAAAAAGTCGCATTCAACTTCGAAACTTGATTGAATAGAGTCATACTTACAACGCATAACTAAACGTAATAAATTTATTATTTTATTACCATGATATAAAATGAACGAGCAAAGGAAACAAAGATAACAAAATACAATAAATAGAAACAGCGAGGAAGAATCAAATAAACGAAACTATTATTTTGAAAACGAATAAATAAAAAGGGGAAATCTTTAATTTCGTTTCGTTTCTGATACGCATAGAGAAGGATGAATCTGCTTCATTGTATAGCGCTAGTAATTCTAGAAATAATTTTAACAGAAGGAAGGAAGCGGCATTCGAGAGCGCATAAGCAACTAGAATACTCAGATTGTGGTAAGGAATGATTTAGTTCATTGATTTAGAATTTGAAATAGTACTTATGTAGTTATTGTCATTTCTAAAAGATTTAAGCCATTGTAATTTTATTACTATAAATAGGCAATGCAAGCAACAGTACATACAAGGGAGAATGATTCTATTTACTATATCTTAATATTTATTTCGTTTCTGGTTACCTACTTGAGCTTCTATCACATATTTTAGCGGCAATGTTTCGATTCTATAGGGATTTCTATTTTTTAATATTTTATAATTATATCTTGATATACTCGTCATTTGTGACTATCAAAATGTGTTTGTGGTCGATTCATATTTTTTTTATTTATATACGATGTTTCTATGAAACAAATATCGGCTTTAATTTAATAAAGTTATATGTTGGGTTTTATTTTATTTATTTGTTGTTCCAATTTGTGTTAATCAGATACATGTACCCTCCAAAATATTTTTTCCAAAATTGAATAGCTTATAACACTTTTAACACTGTATTTAAAGACAGAATCTGATCTATAGGGGGTGACAAAATTACAAGCAACATGTATAATTGACCTACCAATCTATTCCTTACAATAACAAAAAATATCTCCCAAAAGATTCACCAGATGTTATAAATTGGTGAAGTTATTAATGATTCAAAGTGCAAAAATGTTTAAACTCTCCCAAATAATAAGAATGGTAACCATTCTTTTAGAAAAATGATAAACCATTGTAAAAATCTTTAGTTTTCCTGGAATAAAGTATGCACTTTTGTGATTTTTAGAAAATAGACATGACAAGGAATGACATGAGCCAAAAATATTCTAAAATTGAAACAATTTTTGTTAAGCCTGCTCGCTATATCTGATTCTCTCTTTAAGAAACCACAACATTTAAATCAAAACCACACAAATACAAATTATCTTAACAATATGTACAATATAAAATCTGGTGTCCTTGATATTCAAGTAGGAATTTGTGGATTTGTATTAACCATGGGTACATCTTGACCTTAAAAAGGATTACACCATTTGAGGTTAAAACAAACCATGACCATGCAATACTAGGTATATTATTTACCATATTTCTGTAAAAAGAGTAAGCATGCTACACCTTTGGTCATATATCAGGTCGATCAATAAGTTCTGAGAAAATGTCTCGCAATTTCCACAGGGTCACAGGGGATGTTAACAAATATCACATATTAATATTCCCAGTTTAATTTAGTATCTGTCTTTATGAAGAAAGATATGGTTTCTATGGTTTCTCAGAACTTATTGATCGACTTGGTCCACGAATATTTTCAATCAATTTTTAAATGAATTGAGATTTTTAAAAAAAACGTCCGGTGGGTTACAATGAATCAAAAGCTTTTGTAATGTGCAACATTGTTCATTTCCCGGGAATTAATTCGTTGTAATCCACAGAAAACTTATCCACAGAAAAATATCCTGGTAAAGGCGAGTATATTATTGAGACTAGCTGAACTTTGTAAATTGCGGTATCTTTTTGGTATTCAGGATATAAAATTAAGCAGCGTTCAGACACGATACGTTTTGACATGAAGTAATTATGACATTAACTTTCACGCACAATGTCTTTGAATCATCGCTTTGATAAGTCTTTATGATCTTTAGTTTCAAATAATTCAGCTTATTAAGATTGGGATAAATAATGTTGTCTCCATTCCTCCATCAAGAAACGAAAACAATATTACACCGTATATTTACGCCGGCATATGTGTTGTTTGAACGCCTGTAGAATTTACTTCTTCACAGGCGTAATTTGACGTTCAACCCCAACAGGCGTAATTTGACGTCTGCACAAGCGTAATTAGTGCCTAAACACCCGTAAACAACGCGTGTATTCTTTGGGTTAGTTGGCAAACTATAGAAAGTGGTTCTGGGCGGCTTGTGCCTTTCCCTTTCTTTGATTCAGTCGCCGCATGAGCAATAAGCTCTCGGTATGCCCCTGCCTGTTCGCGCCTGATTAATTGGATACACACTCCCCTCATTTCTGACTCCCCGTTGGGCAACCAGTAAATTAATTTCATATTTGAATTGTTTTCCCTCAATAATATGAGGTCGGAAAATTGGGATGTTAATTTTAGGATTTTCATCGCCAAAATCAGGACAAAAATAGGCTTTTAATATTGGTATATGTGATTCGAAAGGGGTCTATTTGAGTTTCCATACTTATCAAGGGGGTGTAATTTACTGATTGATTGGCATAGGTAGGATTGGGGCGCCTGGACCACCAGAGATGTTCAAACCACATACGTGCATTATACATCTTATTTGCGCACTTGTTTGTTTGTTCTCTGTTGTCTTGACAACACATGTGACGTACATATGTTTAATGTGCATCTTTAAGAGTCTTTCATACAGCGTGCTTACGTAAATACACGGACTGTTTGTTTGTTTGTCTGCTGGCTTGTTTGTCTGTTTGTTTTATTTTGTTTTGACAAGCCACGTGGTCTCATTTCTAAACAGTCACTCAAAATAACCATAAACCGAATAAAAATACACAATACGCAAAGTAACAAATGAATAATCTAACAACTAGTAACAGTAAAATAAGAAAAAAAATTATGTTTTCAATGATGACAAACAAACACCTGCATGAATCCAAAAATCAAATATGTGATATAAGCAAATTATAAGTCATTTTTCAATCGAATCTCTGTGCGATGTTTTCATTCCCTTTGTAATAGTGTAATTTGTCATCTTTAATAAGAGTATAATTTACATTAATTACATAGTTCTGTGTTTTCTTTTCAAGAGTTTGATTCGAATTCCATTTAACATAATTCCATGGGCTCATGATAATTCTAATTATTTGTTTGCATGCGTACATATATATTGCGTACGAACTTTGCCCGTCGCATCTCAGGATGCGCTTCTGACGACTGACTTCGTCGTAGATTTCGACGACGTAACATAATTGATCGATGACACCTGTGTAATCTATTTATGACACCTGTGTGTTTGATTTATGACACCTGTACAGATGAGCGTGTCAAATTGGACATATCTCAATGACGATGATGATAACGCCATAAGGGACGCCCCATTAGATTCTATAGGGTTCTGGGTTATCACCAAAAGATTATTTTCCGAAGCGATTAGACAAAACTCTGAAGTCCAAAATGTTTCTGAATCTCTATTTATGATATGCAGGTGTTCGATTTGTCAATTGTCACTGCAATATATTGGTGATTAAACACCTACTGTGTGCAAAAATTAAACAGATTTTTTAAATATAAAGCCTCCTTTATATTTGCGGGATAATTATCAACACAGTGGGAAGTTATCGCCGTTTGCGGAACAAATCGCGAAAATTCCCTCATTTGGATCATTGGATATCCTCATACTTAGCCAGCAGAAAAAATAAACAGATAACACCATCCCAATAATATGTCGGGGTATTTTTCCACCTTACTTTTGCATGTACACTTTGTCTCGGAACTTAGACCAAAGAGTCGTCCTTGCATCATGATAAACCATGATATCTCATTTCTTCTCAGCCCTGAAGGTGAAACAGAAAGATGCTATATGAGTATCAGAATGCCATCCTTGGTCCAAGGGTATTTCTCTTCTTTCCATAGAATTTAGTTATAAATGAAGTCCTTTGAATGAAGGATGCAAAGAGCGAGTTGGATCTCTTATGTGGAAGCACTGTTCCTCAAACAGCGCCTTCGTGACAAGCCTCCAGTGTACGATTGCGCACCACCCTCGGTGACTTAGACCCTTTTGTCAGATTTTTAACCTTTCGCCTTTTTTCCAATTGTCATGCCGCTGTATGCAACCTCGGTGACAATCCATTTTATTGTATGTAAAACCTAAATGTCGCCAATGATTTAAGCCTTTTGACGACAATAATTATATGGGGAAATATGGAATGTGAATTCTTCCGATTGAAAAAAATCACATTTTTAAATATCACCTAATGACAATACATACATTTTTGATTTCACTTTTAATTCTTAAATTTTCTATGGTCGGTTTTTACAATAGTTCATACACTAGTTGCTGTTATCACGAAAATGAGTAATCGCAAAATTTGCAAGGATGACGGTAAATATATCAGGTGAATTCGGAAACCTGTTGATTTGTAAATTCTTGTCTCGGGTAACTAACCTCCCACATCGTCCAAAACATTCCCTGCCAGATATTCCCTTTCGAAAGTCTTTAACACATACTTACACTCTCGCGTTTAGTTTTAGTCGTTCTTCATTTTATGAATTCTTCCTTGAATCGATTCTCTATTGTATAAATCTCCCGTTCATATGCCCTCTAAGTCTTCTCAATTGTAGTTACTCAACCTTGATACGACTAGCCCGTAGCCCCCCCCCTCGCTATATATTTACAAGCACATATTTCCATTCCCTCCCTGACCCATTCCTCCACCCATCTTCTGCAGATATCATATTACACTGTATTAACGAACGATCATACTATCTAGTACATATACCATTTGTTTGCTTTATTTTTCAAGGAGATGGCCCGAACAAAGCTGTATTTATCAACCACGCCATCGCCGACCCACTGCCCATTGTGTCCCCGGGGAAACTGCGCGTATCAGCAGGAGTGAACATCACCCGGGCACTGCCTTACTCTATGTACCTCGACCTCACCGTCACCAAATACTTTCTAGGCCTCCCGTTTCTACTACCGTGTATAAATGGCATTGTCGGCACATGGTAAGTAACTTGTTTGCCGGGAGGGGGTGGGAATCAAGTTTCGTTTTTGGTCTTTTGTCAATTCTTATCATTTGGTATACCAAGGAATTTTCAACAATGGTTAGAAGAAGGAATGGTTCGTTTTCTATTAAACAGTATTTTTTTGTTTTCCAAGTGCCGGCCATTGTGATTTCAAAACTCATTCAAAACTCATGATGGTTGAATTAATCTTTTGAGACACTCTATTGTTTCTCAGACGGGCTTTACAAAGTTTGATAATCAATCGATGAAAATTTCATACCTTGGTTATCCAAGATGAAAATATTATGATTGACGTTATCCAAAAATATACCTACTTATCCTTGGTTATCTTCCTATAGTACTTTATACTATCAGTGGAAATCTGAAATGAACTCCATTAACGGTTGAGATAACCGAAAATTCAAGAGGCTTTTGTCTCGCGGCAAGCCCCATGTACGCTTCCCCCTCCTCTGAGCACTCTGACCCCCCCCCCCCCTCTTAGATATAAGATACACTATATAAAGTAGGGGAAATGTACAAAATATATGATATTCCGTTTAAATATGCAATTGCACTATACAATACAATATACATACAATTCAAAATACAATACAATACAATTACAATATACATTGCTGAATGCACATTAAAAAACATAAAAGTCTCGGAAAATAGATAGTGATTCGAAATAGTTGATATTAGAATCCTCGTGGAAAACAATAAAGTTTGTTCGGAAAATGGATAAAGAATCGTTAAAATGCCATTGATGCATGTTTGTACGTACATGTAAGTGGCTAATATATATGTACCTTTCACAAGAGATTCATTCACAAGAGATTCACCTCATGGTGAATAGAGATCCATTTTCATGCCTCACCCTGTATATTCAGTGACATTTTCTACTCGTCACCAAAATTATATTCACATTCCGATAAAATGCCACGAAAACTGCATCGCTGTAGGCCTTATCAGTATCAACGCGTGAGACTTTAAAGGTCCCATATTGAAATAAATTCACATTTTTCGATTTTTTGAAATAAAATTGAAAAGCTCCACATAGCACCTTTTGAAGGACTAAAATATAAGTCAAAATCCTTTAACTTTATATGAAGCCTTTAAAATCATATGTAGTTGTTAGAGGGTGATGTGATTTGTCTATAGTGATTCAGAGTATTGAGTGTGTTAAGTATCTTAATCTTTGCCACCAATCAACAGAACTGTGTGCGGCCTCATTCGTCTCAAAAAGTGCAAGTGGAAGGTATACAATATAAGCCATCTTAATGAATACCTCTCTAGTGAACACATGTTCCTGGTGAACACCTCTCTTTCAAGTGAACACATGTCCCCAATGAACACCTCTCTTTCAAGTGAACACATGTCCCCAGTGAACACCTCTTTTTCAAGTGAACACATGTCCCCGGTGAACACCTCTCCTTGAAGTGAACACATGTCCCCAGTGAATACCTCTCTTTCAAGTGAACACATGTCCCCGGTGAACACCTCTCTTTCAAGTGAACAAATTCCCCAGTGAACACCTCTCTTTCAAGTGAACACATGTCTCCAGTGAACACCTCTCTTTCAAGTGAACACATGTCCCCAGTGAACACCTCTATTTCAAGTGAACACATGTCCCCGGTGAACACCCCACTCTAGTGAACATATGTTCCTGGTGAACACCTATCTTTCAAGTATACACATGTCCCCAGTGAACACCTCAACAAGACTGTTTGCGGCCTCATCCGTCTCAAAAAGTGCAAGTGGAGAGTATACAATAAAAGCCGTCTTAATGAATACCTCTCTAGTGAACACATGTCCCCAGTGAACACCTCTCTTTCAAGTGAACACATGTCCCCAGTGAACACCTCACTCTTGTGAACACATGTCCCCAGTGAACACCTCTCTTTCAAGTGAACACATGTCCCCAGTGAACACCTCTCTTTCAAGTGAACACATGTCCCCAGTGAACACCTCACTCTAGTGAACACATGTCCCCGGTGAACACCTCTCTTTCAAGTGAACACATGTCCCCAGTGAACACCTCTCTTTCAAGTGAACACATGTCCCCAATGAACACCTCTCTTTCAAGTAAACACATGTCCCAAATGAACACCTCTCTTTCAAGTAAACACATGTCCCAAGTGAACACCTGTCTCTCAAGTGAATACGTGTCCCCAGTGAACACCTCTCGATGTAGTGAGCAGATGATGTCCCTTATAGAATACATGTCTCAGGAAAACATCTTACTCTAGTGAACACATGTTCCCAATGAACACCTCTCTGTGTAGAGAGCACATGTCCTCTTTGAAAACGTGTCACTTGAGAACACCACTCTCAAGTAAACACCTATTACAGCGAGCACATGACCCTGGGGAACACCTTTTTCTTTAGTGGACGCATGTCCCTATTGGACACCTCTTTAATTTGTGAGCACGTGTCCTCATGAACACCTATTTCTAATGAACACATGAACACATGTCCCAAGTGAACATTTTTCTTTCCGGAAAGAAAAGAAGATTGCATTCATGTTTTATTCAATGTCTAACATTTTCTTGATAATGTTTACTTTCAGCGAATACAGGAATATGTGCAGCTACTTGGAGATTTTCAAAGGAGGTAACTGTCCCAGGGTTCTTCAAGATCAGGGTCTCCCTTGTACATGCCCAGTGCAGCCTGGGACATACAAAGTAAAAGATGTCAATTTGAAAATACCCAAACTAGAAGGCATTTCATCTCTTTTAGCACAGGTAAATACTTTATCATTAATTACACTCCCCTGAACAACTTTAGCAATCGGAAGTCGTTTTAGGACTAGGCCTATATGTTTTAGTCTGTTTATCTTTTGCAAACTTTACACATTTACCAAAATTTGTAATAAACATCTAGCCTACTTAACTATATCAAAATTGAGGGGCAAAATTAAGATGAAAATATAAACAGGCGTTCACGCGTTATTCAATGTGGAATCTGGTTGTTAAACTTTTGGAGGGGAGTGTAAATATCAAATGATTGATGTTTGACATGTCCCCTTTTGGGTGGTCAGATATCAATCGTTTATTTGTTTTTTATTTAGATAATATGAATGCGATATGACTTTTCCTGATTTGAGAAGCAGCATGCATAGGGGTGGGAGCTAGACCGTAGCACGATATACTACTTCATTTTTAAAATGTATATACACGTAGTGACATCTATCAACCGAATAAGAATCTATTTTATTATAAGCAGCTGTAATCTGAACGTTGGGGTATGGTTTTAATGGAGAACGTCAAGCTACTCGTTTTAAGGAAATGCGTAGAATTAAAGTACTGTAGGGATTAGTCCCCCGACTTCGATAAGAAAATAGTTAGGTCCCCGAAAAAAACTAATAGAGAGGGAACAAAAATCACTAGGGGTTACGTCGACATATATGTTCTACTAAAGCTCTGACTAAGGACGTGTCGCTAAACCTCCCCAGTATCTTCTCGCTCTTTTTCACTAGATCAATTTTTATTTGAGATGTTTTTTAGAATCAAGTGGATTGTTGATATGATACTTTAAAGGCCATGATCTAACTAATTGCTTTCATTTAAGTTACGAACGTATATATTTTCAGGGAGAGTACGAAATTACAGCAAAGTTAATGGATGACGTCACGCGGGGCGAACTCGGCTGCATCAAGATTAAATTTACTATGAAAAGAAGAAAGAAGAAATCAGGATGGTTTTTCAAATAAATCTATCGTCCCGAATTCGTCAAACCTAGATGTATAAACTGTACATAAATAGAGTTAAATATTGATTTAAATATTTTTAAAATGAAATACGTTGTTTTGACGAACAATCCAGTTATGTGTATTGTACACGCACGGATGAAATAAAATAACGAACGATGGAATATTTATTAGTATAAATATTTATAAAACAAAAGGATATTTACTATTGTAGCAAAATGGCATCAAAAATACCTCAAATGATATTATGCCAGAAGCACATACCCCAGGAAGTGCACGGTGGCAGCTCAGTCATAATATATGGAGGTATAAATCTCAAATAAATTTAGCGACTGTAAGGTATCCTGTGAGTATATGAATATGAAAACACATTCTGACAAAATTGTCAAAAATTAACAACTTCACTCTGATCAGAAAACAGTAGAGTTGTAAAACAAATCTCATTTTGTAATTAAGAAGGATATGGTATACCATTACAAAGAGCATATCGTTGTAGAGGGGACGAAATATCGACCACTTGGCTTCATCTTAGAAGGCTATATTGTGATCAATTCCTCATTCTGATCCACATTTACACTCCCCAAAAAGGTTTAGCAATTCCAAAATCAATAAGTCGTATTTTAATCCTTGAGAAACACAATGAAAATATAAATATAAACACGTTTAAAATAACAATTTTTCAAATTATGATGCTATTTCTTCAAAACTTGCTTGGAAGGACTATATTTTAATCTTGAGAAAACGTTCTTGAAACTGGATAAAATTACAGTCCAATATTGCATTTAATGTTATATATGAGCGATGCAAATAAATTAAAAAAATTATCAAACCATTATCACTAAATTCTGTTCTATTGGTCAGATTAATGAAAAACATGTAAGCTTATAATACCAACAAATAGATGTCGTTCAAAACAGGCTGTATTTCAAAATTGACTTCTCAATGAGGATTGGTAGCCAAAAATTCAAACTCGATATTCTGTTACATTGCATGGAATAATTTGGTTACAATATTTCCCATAGGTTGAAAATAGGACTGTCATAGAAGTTGAATATTACTATAATATTCGTAAACTATAATATATCGACTAGATACTTGGTCCCAAGATGAACTTTATAGCAATAGTCTTACCAAATTGTGCCACGCCAGGCAACAGAATATCGAGTTTGAATTTTGACTTCCAATCATCCTTGATGACTACAGATAATATTGAATCGATTCCGTGTTACCTCTTCCCGCCGTTTTAGTTCATGGAGGAAGGGGTGGGGTGACCAAAGACTTGATTACAGACAACCCGCGGCTTGGTCGAGGAACCCAAGAATCCTCCGAGTGGCAAATGGATCGTCATGATAGAATATCAATTTTTCCCCAGTAAATGGATCCTCTGAAACAACGTTTTCAATTTCATTCTCAATACCGTCAATGATTTTGAACAACCCTCGATTACTGGTCAGCACTATCCATATAACAACACCACCGTTGTCACGTATTGACTTGGCAGCTCTAATCGTAGCTTTGCGGTACCTCATGGGATAAGTCCTTCCATCTCCGAAGAAAATAGCAACATCGCGATAAATTTTGTCGTCTCTGTCGTTCGGTGTTGCCAAGGTAGCAATTGTTTTATTGAACGCAATATCGGTCCTCGTTCTGCATCCGTCAACGGCATCACGGACGGCTTTAAGATCAGATAACAGCTTTACAACATTGGCTGGATTACCGTCCGGTTCGCCGGATGAGAAGTCGAATGAATCGACAACATCTACGTTGTAGCTGAACCCGCTAATCCTTGAGCCTTTGGAGGAGTCGAGTGCCAGATTCATACTAATACCCTTGGCAATGTCCACCGCCGCCGTGATATTTGTCGCGTCAATCGAACACGATGTATCAAATGAAAAGACAATGTCGGCGCACACTGAAAAACATGACATCGACTTTAAGGCGACGCTATATTAAATAATAAGTACAAAAAATGACTGCCATATTTTTTTGATAAAGACACATGTTTTTAAAATCTGTTTACCTTGTATATGAATTGTGTATCTTGACTAATGAAACATGTCAAAGTTAACATCACACATACAGTTGGGGACAAAAATAAATGACAGGTCGATTTTCGATTACCATTTCCTAATTATGGTGGTCTGAAAGCCCATAATTTCCAATATTGTCTAGATACATATCCCTTAAAATTTGTATATTTTACATTTTGTATAATCTCATCCACTGATTTATGGCCTCTTGTAAATTCTCTTTTTTTAACATGGGAAATCCTCACTTCAGCAAATCCACCTGTCATTTATTTATGTCCCCAACTGTAAACGCATTTTTCCAAACTATGAATTGGAGGTGCATGGATCCCCAAAGCTAGCATGAAGAGTGCGAAGTGAGGCTAATTTTTGAAAGTTTCAAGGAGTAGCCTTGCAACAGTCACACATTTGCAAGAGTCTAAAATTTCCACAAATCATCTTACCTTTCCCAGGAACAACGAAGGAGCATGAAAATGTGCACTTCTTGCATTGTTAGAGTATAATAAACCTCAAACCATTGTAAATTCCAAATATTTCATGTCCACATTTTGTTTGCCGGAACTACTTCTAGACTTCCTGATTAATCCTCATGCAAGTTTTGTGACTACACCAAGTGGCATGGATTATCACTTGTATGTTTTATCTATTACAGTGTAATTATCATGATAGATACATGATAGAGGCTTTATGAATGATAAACAATGGAAACATGAATGAAGATAACTCTGGACTAAAAAATAGTTCCAGGAAATAAAATGGTGGACATGAAATATTTAGAATTCACAATGGTTTGAGCTTTATTATACTCTAACAATGCAAGAAGTACACATTTTCGTGCTCCTTCGTTGTTCCTTGGTAAGGTAAGATGATTTGTGGAAATTTTAGACTCTTGCAAATGTGTGACTGTTGCAAGGCTACTCCTTGAAACTTTCAAAAATTAGCCTCACTTCGCACTCTTCATGCTAGCTTTGGGGATCCATGCACCTCCAATTCATAGTTTGGAAAAATGCGTTTATGTGTGATGTTAACTTTGACATGTTTCATTAGTCAAGATACACAATTCATATACAAGGTAAACATATTTTAAAAACATGTGTCTTTATCAAAAAATATGGCAGTCATTTTTGTACTTTTTATTTAATATAGCGTCGCCTTAACGATGATTGCGATCATTATAAATTCACTTTTATAATTTGTATGAATTGGTAGGGATATTGTTTTGGGTTTTTTCAAATCGTTCGATATTCTTTTTTGTTTTTTATAGGTTCTAGTTTTTCCTTTCCCTTAATTTGTCTTGTATGTTTTGTATTCATTTTTAACGCATGGCGGGGGAAGTATTGATGAAAACAATTGATGAATGTGACTAAGTTGAGATATGTCCCCCCAAAAATTTGACAACTCTAACCTTTCATTGGACCATATATTGGAGCCTCCCCTTTAAATTTTAGATTAAAATCACTGTCCCCAACACGCTGTACTCTATAGATAGTCAGGTATTTCATACAGGGATACCTTGTTGATCTGCGGGTCCATTGCATGAATAATGTGAAGTAAGCGTTTCGAAAACCCTGTCCTCTTCGTCCTCGTTTTCAATCTTGAAAAAATGGTCGGCGTATGGCTTGGATGGGAGAGCCTGGAATTCACCTGTGTCCGGAAGACCTCGCCTGAAGATACATACGAAGAACCGGGTGTATAACTATAGTGGAAATAGAATTTTTGCCCAAAAGGTATGAGCAATTCTCCAGGATCAAAAAGTTGGCGAGGCAAATGTAAATACTATGCGAGGTAACCTTAGGAGGCGACAAAAGGGGAGGTATATTCAAACCTTCGAACTTAATTTCCACAATCTAAAATAATATCTTTCTTTGGATTTTTGGTGAGGCGATTGCCTCGCCTGTCTCGTGTCTGGCTATGTCCATATACCCTTTGGAAAGCAAGTGTTAATTCGACTGCTCCCTTTAGATGAGAAAGTTTATTTGGGAACCCATATCAAATCAATCAGAATTATTTCACATTCGAGCTCCTATTAAAGCCACGAAAGGAATTTTAACTCATTTAGATCAGAATAACTTTAAAACATTAAATTAATATCACAAAATCGGAGGGAAGTATGGTTAGGTGCTCCATGGGCTTTCAATCTATTGAATGCCCATGGCTGATCTGAATTCAGAGCATTCGGGGTATCATGGTTGACAAAATTACCGAAAGATGGCAGTAGGTACCTGTTCACTACTGCCATCTTTACGTAGATCTAGTGACTAAGAGTCCAATGGTGTAGCTAGTATTTAGCTAGGATAAACATTTAGGTTAGGTAAATCTAAATAGGCGGGGCAAATTTAAGCTTAGGATCCCGGAGCATGTGGACGCTATTTCTACAGTTTCAGTTTAAAAAACGTCAGAATGATAAATTTCTGTAAAATTTTGGCCTGCCTGGCTACGCCTATGAACCCGTTTGTTTTTACCTGTGGGGTGTTACCATGATGTTGATTTCAATACCAGCTTCCTTTACAGCCATGGCCTGTGCGAGGGTATCATTGTTGTATTTAAACTGAGCTGTCCTTCCGTCCGTAAACATCATGGCCACGTTGGGGTATTTACTGTTATCCCTGCATTAATATTATAAAAATGATCACATAGTTCTTCAGAGCCTCTACTTTTCCCATGGAACCCAAATTCTCCATTGGATGACATGTTAAATGGATATATCTAAGTTTTAATATTTTATCTGCGAAACGTGCTTCAAAAGAACTAACGCAAAACTATAAACGATCTAACACTATCTGTAATAGATACCAGCAAACTTGAGAATTAGTATAGACTATGTCAAAAAAGCTATATTCGAGCCATATTCGTATCAATTCGTTCAGTGCAATCATGCATCATTTTTTCATGAACGCACTGTGCGCATTTCGCACTGTCACGGAGGTAATGCTATTGTTGGTACCTATCTCCCTTTTCTACTGTGAAGTAAGTTTCGTGGAGATGTTTCAGTGCAGTATGAAGATGTGATTTACATTCCCCTTCTACATCGGCGCCCCTGATGGCATTAACCAATTCCTCAACTTCCAGACCATCGTCTACAAAAGCATTCATAGTCCAACATTATTATTCGGCTTTGTAAAAAAACCGGGTACCTCGTACCCACGAATTACGTATTCAACACGATCGCTGCAGGGTTCAATTTTCAAAATCATAACAATCACTAGATAACAGTTTATGCTCAATTATTACAGATTATTTCGTGTTATTCATTGGTTTTCTTTGATCAATAACATGCATATAATTTAGCATCAATTTAATATTTTGAATACATGCGGCGAAAATATGCAAATTACAAAGCGCGAAATTAAGTTAATCTACTTTTTGAGGGATTATTGTATTATTGTTTCACATGAGCTTGTCAAGACTATGAAATTCGAAGATGTCTTACCTAGATAGAAAACATGTTGCGTTCCTTTACAGAACAGCATGAGTCCAACTTTAATATCAGTTCCTGGTATACTCGCAAGACGTGATACCAAGTTTGCCGCAAAATCCCGCGCATGCTCCTTGGTTGATAACAGGATTGAACACGATACGTCTAGGATCAACACCAGGTCGAAACATGCTGGAAATAATTCAAAATTATGAAATCCACTTTGGCTTTATTTCAAAAGTATGCTAAGAAATCGATGTATGTATCAATTCCGTCACGACAGCCTGACATTGAAGACAAAGTAAAATGTATTGTAAAGTTAAATTGTAAACGTAGCATAGATGGATTTTCAAAATTTTAGCTCAATTTTGGGTTCTAAAGACCAAATTTATTTTCATGACTCAAACTTTGGGCGCCCCTTGCTAGTTTTTGAATCCGCCAGTGTGCATGGTCATTTAAAACCGTACAATGTAATCTGTACTGAGGGCTGATGTTAAAAATTAAGATCACCCCCAGGAGGCTTAAACCAAGGGCTCTTCGATTTACCCTCAGCACAGAGGTTAGTTCTAAAATAACGAAGTGGACGGAGTTACATTTTAAGAAGCTACGTCAATGCGAATACGAAGGGCACATTCGAGTATTATCGTCATTTGAATGGTTAACCCCGAAGTTCTCAGGGTAATCTTCTAGTTTAGAAGGATTTTTTTCACTTTATTGACTTTGAGCGGGCCAAAGTGGCGACACCTCATTTGAGAGGGCAACATCAGTGAGGGCCAAGATTTCACACTGTTGCCCTTAGAAACCAGACTATTGCTACATTGCGCACGCATTTTTACCTGGACTTCCAGGTGATCCACTTTTGTCGAATAGGTCATCGTCTGTGAGAACTTGAAGAAGTTCGTCAGAAAATTCGGGATCGTCAGATGTACCAGCGTCTCCTAAATCCTCAATCGCTTTTCTATCAATTGGCGTCTTGGACCAACCCTGTATCACTAGGTATCAGAAACAAGTTTACAAAAGATGACCGTTGTCTATATAAATGGAAACATAGATGGCAGCATTGGTATTGGTAGGGCCAGAAAACATGGAAATATATTACAATAGTCAATTAATTTCTCGATCAAGTAGTTCTGTTTCAATCAACTTAAAACATATCATATGGGCTTACTGACACATGGATTGTGATTTAGCATTAAAATTGTGATCCTTATAAACATTTAAACGGTTTTTCAACATTGTCAATGAGGATTAAGCCAGGCCTTTTGCAGAAAACTTGAAAAATTTGAATTCAGGTAAATTAGCCTACTGTGTAAATCAAAGTTATTTTGATAAAAGAGTATTTTCCATATAGCCTTGTAATCTCGTTTAAGTCTAATTTTAATGAGATTTTAGGAGATCTGCATGTTTAACCATGAAAGACTAACATTTTCTTCTATTAATTTGATGCCATATTTGAATTATGCGTGTAATTTTCTATTAAGACAATATTGATTTGCACAGTTATTTACCTTTATTCAAATTCTAAAGATTTTCAAGTTTTCTAAATCCCCATTAACACAATGTTGAAAAACATTTAAAAGTCCATCCTTAACTTACTTCAATTTCGTTCAGTGCAATCGTAACGCACTCGTGAACATCTTATTTTAGAGTTTTGAACCTATTTGAAACTATGGAGCCAAGCTCGGAAGAAATACGCTTACACCAACGATTGTATCGCATACCCAATACCCAATACATAGATTAGTGTAAACATATATCCATACATTTCCAGGGGATCGAAATATTACACGCCCCAGTACAGGTTTTATTAAAAACGTGTAACCTAACGTCCTTAATAGCTAACTTGTTGCGCGAAACCTCTCTTCAACGTGACACAATTAAAAGAATAAACAAATTTAACTGACCCGCTTTCAATCCACCTGGTTTAAGCTTGACGCTTTGGACGTTACCAGAATTGATTTCAGCTTTTTTTCCTAAGGCTGGAGAACTTGTGAACGCTAATAGGATAATGGCGAGCAGGAGAACTGGTGTTCGAGGAACGTTGGCCGGCATCATATTGCACTTCTAGTGCACACCTGTGAGAATGGAGACCGAATTAGAGGTACAGGGGGTGACAAAATTGCAAGCAAGATCTACAATTAAACAAGGTACAATTAACATAGCAAACAATGCATTCTTGCAAATCTCAAATATCTTATTTGATGTTTATACAGGGTGGTCCAAAAAATGGGACACTCGTATTTCAAAATTAAATATTGGTTTTATCTATGAAAACATGTCATATTACATATTCGAACATGACTGTATTCACGCCTTCTATAAACTGTAATCAAAGTCAATGCTTCAGCTGGGTTATATTCGAGTATAATAACCCAGTTAAAACGTGTAATGTGTGACGTCATAACGGTGGGTCGTAGTAATGGCGGATCATGATGAATTATTCGAAACAATTTGGTGAATTTTCATGTTCGAATCGTAATATACACCTCAGAGCAGGGTTACTAGTTTCGAATAACACGCCGCTGGTCTCGGCACAAAGCTTTCGAACCCCTCACTCCCTTCGGTCGTTCGGGGTACAGAAAACGTTTGTGCCGAGACCAGCTGGGTGTTATTCGAAACTAGAAACCCTGCTCTTTGGTCTATATTTCTTAATTATTATATACCCAATATGTAACACTAATCCTGATTGGTCAATACCTAGTCACGTGTTCCGAAATAGATTTACTATTTCCCTCGGAAAGTTATATTCCCTCAAATGTGACATCAGCGGGAAGATACATTTGAACTATTGCCCGCTGACGTCACGATTGCAACTTCTATTACCCTTGGAAACGTCTGCGTATCATCACTGCGCAGACGAAAAACAGAATGGAGGATGAGCACAAACACAAATCAACTCCGTTCACCATGACAGACGTGCGTGAACGATACAATATAAGCAACGTGAATAAAGTTCTCTAAGCTGAATATGTCTGTGTAATTTCAAGTGTTATGATAATCTATTCTGCTTGTTAAACGCGATTGAATTTGTCAAGTGAGAGTCTCAGAGGCAAAAATTTCTGTTGAGCATCTGACGACGTCACAGCTTATAATGCTAACAATGGACCCGGGGAGGGGGCTTTCTAAGCCTTTTTGGCCTTCGCAGAGGAAACGGGACAAGAGTCAGTATAGGGTATATAATAAAACAAATAGTGACTGCCTAATTTCGAGCAATAGTGTAAATGATTTCCCCTTGGGAATATCCTCTACAATATACTATTCCCTCAGCCTGCGGCTTCGGGAATAGTACATTGTAGAGGATATTCCCTCGGGGAAATAATTTACACTATTGCCCTCAATGGCAGTCACTATTTGTATACCAGTGGATAGGGACCACCCCGTATATTTAAAATGTGTAATCAGATCAGATCTATAGGGGTTACAAAATTAGAAGCAATATGTAAAAATGACCTACCAATCTATTCCTTACAATCTCAATACAATATTTCCCAAAAGATTCATGATATGTTATAACTTGGAGTTATTAAGGATTCAAAGTTCAAAAATGGGTAAAAAATGTTTAAATTCTCCCAAATAATAAGAATGGTAACCATTCTTATAGAAAAAATGATACATTAAAATTCCTTCAATATGAGTATAATATAGCCATGCTTCTAAGGGATCAGAAAACTATTCTCAAATCCCACATTAGGCAGCCATTTTGAATTTTACAAGACCCGAATAAGAAAAACGCTACAATATTTGCAATATACTCTAAATTGCCTTTCATTTGAGTATAATAAAGCTATACAAAAACATCTCAAAATTAATGCAAATTCCTGTTTTCCCAACTCTCCATTCACGGCCCCGGGGGTCAGGGTAAAAAACGGAATATATGTGAAAATTTGTGAAATAGATATATGTTGTGGATATACTACTAAAATTTCAAATTATAATATTTATTTGCTTTAAAATGAAAAACATTTTTAAAGCGGCGGCCATCTTGGAAAAAATTGCGTAAAACTATTTACCAATATAGATAATTCCACCAAATATGAAGAAAATCCGTAAACTATTATTCGAGTTATCTTCCGGACAGACGGACGGATTGACAGACTGCTGAGGGCTTCACTATATCCCTACCGAACTTCGTTCGTTGGGATACATATACCAACTAAGAATTGTTGTTGTACCGCCAAAGCCCTACTTTTCCATATAGCGTAGTTGACTTGAATCTCAATTCAATAGATATTTCTATAGGAGCAAGATTTATAAATATAAAGTAATATTATGTTTGTACAAAATATATGTTTGGTTTACCTTTAAGCGCTGGTCGTACAGTATACTAAATACATTGCCTGTCAAGTGGCTTTAATACTTTCTGAAATAATATGTGATGAATGCATCATGAGTATTTCAATTAAGTAACTTAATATGAAAAGCTTCGGTTATTATCAATGAATTATATTTTGAAAGAACTGTTAATTACAATAAATTACAATTATCAATCAAATATCATTATGTAATTGCTAGTTATTCAAATATGCAGTCTTAGAATGTACATTCAATTATAAAACACAAGGGTGCAGCCCGTTCATATTATTTTGATGGGTTAGTCACATATGTTTTGATATTGAGCGATAATTCCCTCCTAATGCAACAGCGTGTTCCATAACTATTGATAATAATAATAACTAGATTTTGGAAATTGAACGAGTTCAATTTCAGACTCCAGATCTAGACTTTTTTTAGCCGAGTCATCCAGAATAAGCCAAGTCATCCAAAATAAGCTAAGTCATCCAGAAAAAGATGGATGGATGGATGGATGGATGGATGAAAAGGGAAGGAAAGATACGATAGAATAGGAAGGAACGATAGGATAGAATAGGAAAGAAGGATAGAATAGAATAGGAAGGATAGGAAGGAGAGGATACGAAGCAAGGGTAGCTAGATAGGAAGGGAAGGATAGGATCAGAAAGGAAGGATGGATGCATTTTTCAATATTTTCTTCTCTACTCTTGACTTTCTATCAGGATACCATCAGATCGATTTTTCTTGAAATTTCAAAACGCCATAACTTCCGAACCGGAAGTCGGATCGAAATTTGATTTGCAGATCCGGATTCCTGACAAAATTCTACCCCTAATTCATAACTCATACGTTAAATTTGGCGAATTTTTATTTTGACCTACTTTTCGGACACGCCATAACTTCGGAACCGGAAGTCGAATAGAAATTTGGTTAGCAGATTTGGTTTTCTGGGAAAATTCTATTCTTAATTCATAACTCAAACGTTAAATTTGGAGAAATTTTTATTTTGACCTACTTTTCGGACACCATATCTCAAAAGTGGGTCAAAATACTTTCTGACGGCAAAAGGCTTACGCTATTAGCACACTCTTGGCTACATGTATACACAATTTCGAGGAATATAATTAAAGTGTAGTGTCAGAATCGCAAAAATAAGGATAAACTATGAATTTGACCTAGATTTTGACCTAGGGATTTTGGTGTCCAAATTTTGAAATTAGGTAGCCTTCGAGGTTCCCTTCTTTCATAGGCTTTCATTATTTTAAGCTGTAATTAGTCTATATCTTGTATTTTACACTTCAAAAAAATCTTTTTTTCCCATTGACATAACATGGGGGACCAAATTTAGCGATTTTTGAGCTTTCAAAATGTCATAACTTCCGAACCAGAAGTCGGATTGAAATTTGGTTTGCAGATTCAAGTTTCCCGATAAAATTCTATACTTAATTCATAACTCAAACGTCAAATTTGGAGAATTTTTTATTTTGACCTACTTTTCGGACACCATATCTCAAAAGTGGGTCAAAATACTTTCTGACGGCAAAAGGCTAACACTATTAGCACACTCTTGGCTACATGTATACAAAATTTCGAAGAATATAATTAATCTGTAGTGTCAGAATCGCAAAAATAAGGAAAAACTTTGAATTTGACCTAGATTCTGACCTAGGCATTTTGATGTCCAAATTTTAAAGCTAGATGGATTTTGAGGTCCCATTCTTTTAAAAGCTTTCATTATATTTAGCTGAACTCAGTCTATATTTCGTATTTTTCACTTCAAAAAAATCTTTTTTCCCATTGACTTAACATGGGCACCAAATCTAGCGATTTTTGAGCTTTCAAAACGCCATAACTTCCTAATCGGAAGTCTGATTCAAATTTGGTTTTCAGATTCTGAATCCTGAGAAAATATCCTGGATATTTGATTCGAAGAACTTTTTTTTGGACCTCGTTTTCGGACACTGATATCTCGAAATCGGTTTGAGATATCAAAAAACTAAATCGACCCTAGGTTTCCTACTTTTTTATAAGGAACACAATGAAAAAAACCCGGATCGAAAATATTGAAGGATGACCGAGAAAATCGAAAAAAGTGACAAAGTACTGGATTTGACCTAGTTCTTGACCTCTGACCTAGATAAAAATTTGACCCAATTTCCGAGGAACTAGATTCTGGACCTAAATTGACCAAATGACTGACTTTACTGAAAACCTTATGGTTATTGAGAAAACTGGGTTAGAATAATAAGAATAAGAATAAGAAAACTGAGGAAAACAATAGACTCCAGATTTCATCTGGAGTCTAATAATAAAAAGCCGTGATCTTTTTGTTGTAGCGTGTTCCATAACTGTTGATAAAAAGCCGTGATCTTTTTGTTGTAACATATATATGATTTATTCCAGCTGCTCACTGAATCGTAGACGATCTTAAAGAGATCCAGTCGTCCAGATTTCTCTCCTGGACAATCAGTAATGTCCCAATATAATTGATATATATATATATATTAATATGAACGGGCGTAACTTGAATGGGCTTTTTAAATTTTATTTCGAATTTCTCCCGATGAAAGTGGAAATTCATGGCTAGGAACAATCATCAAATTGATACTGTTAACAAATCAATTCAAGCCCCAACATTGGTAAGTTGATAAACAAACTTGTTTTACACCAAATAACACCAGAAAATCAAATTGTGTTTTAGGAGACTCGATCTCTTTAGGGAAGAATGTCTTGTATCAGACTTTCAATGAGGGCAGTAGCCAGAGTGCATTAAACCACCCACAATTCATTGATTCATGTGCTTAAATCCGTTTCATATTAGTTAGTGAGGTAGCACCGAAAAATGTACCCGCTTCTGAACAAATTGAAATTACTTGTTTCTTATGTATTTTTATGTGATACTTCAGAAAATTTTTGTCTGACGCGCCGTATCCGGGGCGAAAGTTGTCAAAATTGGGTTTTTGATCCTAAAAAGGAAAATTACAGGGGGTACATTATCATCATTGAATAATTCATTCAGTTGGTCTTCAATCATCATAATAATTTTATTGAGAGTTGATGAGATAATTTTAAGGTAGTATGCAAAGTTTCAATGGTCTGCCACTTGTGGTTGCCATGGAAACCACAATTTTTGCTGAGAAAATCCTTAATTTTGATAAAACCTGTACCTGTACATAATATAGAATGTGGATTATTTTTCAAATCAACAGGTATCAGAACATTTTAGCATTCTCAAAATTACCAGGGCAGTTCAAACATTTATTTAAATATAAAGGATATTGAAATTAACATAACTGGGGAGTGTCAAAGACCATACAATTATATAAGTGATCAAAAGTGGGCGTCGCCCTCATCATAGTAGATGATTGCCATTCTCTAAAAATACAGAGTTTTACTTGACTTTTGAGATACATTTGTAATGATGTTCTTTGGTTATACTAAATTTGAAGCATTTTTGGTAAATAATGTACATGTAAGTGTTATACTTATTGCATGGGGGAGGGGGTAGATGGAGGGGGGTAACAGAATTGGAAGAGGGCAAAGCTAATCACCCTTACGTATAAATCTCATCTACATAGTTCTGGATTCCATGGGGTACATCTTCTGGGTCTTCTTCACATTCATCTGAATATATAGGATATTATAATTCTGCATGATTGGTAAGTATAAAGACCATAGAATTACGCAAGTGATCAAAAGTGGGCGTCGCCCTTATCATAGATTCATTCTCTATAAATACAGAGTCTAACTTGACTTTTGAGATACATTTACATTACAACTTCTTCAAGCATTTCTGGTAAGTAATGCACATCAAATTGTAATAGTTCTTGCCTGGGGGAGGATGGGGGAGAGTAGTAACAGAATAGGGAGGGGGGAGAGGTAATCAGCCTTAAATATAAATCTCATCTGCATAGTTCTGGATTTCATGGGGTACATCGTCTGGGTCCTCTTCATATTCATCTCAATATATGGGATATTACAATTTACAGGATTTGTCAAACACCATACAATTACATATTAATAAATGATCAAAAGGAGTGTCGCCCTAACAATAATAGATGATTGGTTCTTTGTATAAATACAAAATTGAACTTGACTTTTGAGATACATTCATAGTTATACTGAACTGCTGTTATTATAATTTATGTCAAGCATTTCTGGTAAATACATCTGTGTAAGTTTTATAGGTTTTACATTGGGGCAGGGGTGAATAGTAACAGAATTAGAATGTGTAGATCTCATCTGCCTTAAGTATAAATCTCATCTTTTTAATTCTGGATTTCATAGGGTACATCTTCTGGAGTTTTCTGATTCATCTCCTGGTGTTGCTATATCACCTTCTCTCTTGTATGAGAATATCAGTCAATACCCACTGGAAAGATATGGAGTCATTTAGTTTCCATTCAAGTCCATCTGGTGGTTCACTACGAGGATTTGCAATATGGGCCATACAGACAATAAGTGCTTTATATGGATGCGATGGTTACAACAATCAGACAGTCCTTCATAAGACCAACTTAGGAAAATTATCTAGAGATGAGATGAGTGTGACACCCATAATGACCTTGGAAAGGCACAAATAGCAAGTACAGATATAGATATAAAATAGATATAAAGATGACAAAAACCGCAATCAAAGACTTCCTTGATCCATTTACCATTGAGGATGAAGGTCATCTCTACAGTGTATCATAAGGTAAATCTGTGCCAAATGATGTCGCTGCAGATCTCATCTAATTTTAGTCAAAAGGGGAAATTGCATGAAGAGATACCATCTGAGATTAGTTGAAAAAAAGATTTCATGATCTAATAAAACATATGAAATTGAAAACTATAGCAGCAAACTACAGCAGCAACAGTGACAGTAAAAAAGTGCTCAGAACAAGCTTATAAGATGGTTCAAATTCATTCTGAATGAAACATCTTTGAACAGCTTCGATCTTGCTAAGGAACATAAAATTAGCCTAGAATGTCTCCTGCAGTTCCTATTGAGCCCTGTGCCTTGGGCTCTAGGAACACTG